CCATGAGGTTTGTCAGCAGATCTCCGGCACCCAGGCTCCCTTGTTTGTCACCAGGGAAGCCGGGTGCGTTTTCCTTTCTCCTGGGGAAGCTTGTGGTGTAATGAGTGAACTTCAGGAGCTTAGAAGCTAATTTGGTAGAGAAATCCTCAAGGGAAGAGCTACAATCATAGACATTTCTATCAACCATCGGGAGCCCAGGAACTTAGTTCTCTTCTTAGCAAAATCTTTTCTGAGTCTGTCTGATCTGGCTGGGGGTGGGAGACGGGGCATCTGAGTTGCTTAGCAGGTAATATTTACCCCACTTTGAGTAAATTTATTCTTTCTAATTTTTATTTTTACATCGTTGTTGGAAGTTCACTGCTGTTCTCTGGCTCGCGGAGTGCTGTGCCACGTAGCTTTTCACCTAAAGCTGCGCAGTAAGGAAAAACCGCACTCGTGCATTACTATTTTTTTTTTTTTTTTTTTTTTGGAAACAGGCTTTCATTGTCCCTTTCGAGAGTCAGTCCGCAAACAGCGCGTCGTGGTGTTGCACACACGGTACAGCCGCTCCTGCTGTCGGGTTGCACGGGGAGTCGTCGCTCCAGCTCCCTCCCCACAGTCAAACGAAGCCGCTACCCCGACTCCTCGGGGAGCGAGCGGAGCCGAGGCCGGTGCTCGGCCCCCAGATATTGCCCCGGCGATGCTGGCAAAGCTTTTTTTTTTTTCTTTTTTTTGACCGGGATGCCTTCGCACGCGGAGTCTTGCCCAGCCTTGCTCGCGGTGAGCGAGCAAGCGCATCCGCCGGCGGTACGGTGTGCAGCATCCCGCGGCGAGAGGCTCGCGCTGCCGGTACGTGCCGTGGACTGGAAGATCTCTTTAGGCTTCTGACTTTCCTTTGATTGACCCTCGTGTCCCGTGAGCAGTGTTGTCCCAGCTGTATAATTTGGAAGTGATTTACTGGAATTACAAAACCTATCTTTTTTTTTTTTCCTTCCTTTTTCTTTTCGGCTTTTGCTCTGGCTGCTTTAGGAAACTTATGCAGGAGAGATGGCACAAGAGGGCTAAAAATGGAGTGGGGGTCAGGGACTTGATTTTTAAGCAGCTTGAATGGTTTCTTTCATTTTTTAAGAGATGCACTTGCCTATGATACTGTCTCTCCAGTGAAATGATTACTGCTCCATTACTCTATTGATACAATATTGTGCATGCTAGTGTCGTATTTCTATACAGTAGCTTGAAATTTATTAACTTATACTGTAGATGTTATGTATTCCTATGACAAAATAGTCTTCAAAAATTTTTTAAAGTTTTTTAATTTATTTTTTTCTTTTGGGGGTAAAGTTTGCTCTACCAAATAGTGATCGTAACAAACTGATCTGTTATGGATGTTGCTATAGTGACATGCAATTATATATGATTTTGTTTTTAAAAAGGAAAAAAAAGCAAAAGAAAACACCAGTGTTAGCTTAATCTTAATGTCTGGTGTTCGTCATGGTGAAATTATAACTATTACAGTGTAGGAGAACAATGACTGTGTTCTTTGAATGAGCCTTTGTTTGTGCTTTTTGTCATGTTATGCAGTGAACTATTTTTAAGGTCTAATCAGTGATTATTTTTCCAACTCCGTGTTTCTGTAAGGAATTATTTCACACACGGACCATTCTTAGCAGTTTTTCCTCAGTGATGGAATATCATGAATGTGAGTCATTATGTAGCCGTCGTACATTGAGCAAATAAACTTACAGATCTGACGTCAGCGCTGCTTAATTGTGATCGCCTGTGTGTCGAGTTTCTGGGGGGCTGCGTGGGATGGGGGGCTCCCCCTCGCCATCGGGGCTCGGGAGCCGGGACAGGCAGCGGAGGCCGGGAGTGAACAGCCTTGTGTTTGCTCCCGGGGTCTTCTCCCTTCGGCCAGAGCACGGGGAAGGCGAGAGGCCGCGTTCCCCATCCCTGCGGGTTCATGGTTCACCGGGCTCCCAGCCTTCCTGGGGCACAGGTGAGCGCCCTCCCGGGCTGGGGGGCCGTGGGCATGGTCCCGGGACGCTCCGGAGGGGTGGGTGGGTGGGGGCCGGCCCGCCTGCCTGCCTCCCTCCCTCCCTCCCCCATGTTTTTTCCACTCGAAGCCACGCGCGGTGACTCACGCTGTAAAAATACTCCCCTCCCTTGGAAACCGTAAACCAAAAATATGGCTTGGCTCACGTGGCGCAGCCAGGGCCCCCCCGCGGGCAGCAGCCCACCCCTGCACGCTGACGGCCTCCTTGCTAAGGCTGGGGTGGCTTTTTGGGAGGCGAGAGCCACCACGGGCCCTGCCCCGTGTGGCACCCACAGCCACCCATGGCCACAGGAGAGGGGAGGGGGCCACGGATGCCCCTCGGGGGGCTGCTGCCCTCGGAGACACGTTTGGGCTGACAAATCTGGCCGATGGCCACTGCGCTGGGTGTTGTGGAAGCAGGCCCAGCTGAGCCTGGCCCAGCACCCTCCCAAGCCCGGATTAGCCCCACATCTTCCCCACCCTGACCCCCTCCTCCCCTCGGGCCTCAGTTTCCCCACCCGCAGGGGGAAATGGATCCCCCAGGCTGGAGCAGGGCCCGGTGCCCTGGGCATCAGCAAATGGAGCAGCACCCCATGCCCTGGGCATCAGCCGTGCCCGCGGGGGGGTGTGTGCGTGGGGGTGTGTGTGCCAGTGTCCCCCAGAGACGTCCCCCCAATGGAGGAGCAGAGAGAGAAGCAAGGAGCAGGGGCCTCCTCACCGCTTGCCTGGCAGGATTTAGCCCTAAAACGGGGCGTGAGGTGTGCCTGGGTCTGGGCGCTGCAGTGCGGTGCGCGGGGCAGCGCAGGCAGAGGGGCTGGGGGGGACACGCAGCCCCTGCCTGGCACCCCCAGCCCATCTCCCTCCCCTGCAGGCAGGGGGGCTGCAGGGACCCCCCACTCGCCCCATCCCCGATGCTGGAGCCTGACGGATGGGTGGATGCCCCCGGGAGGCACGAGACCTGCCAAACTCATTGCACCAAGCCCTGTTCCCGGTGCTGCAGGGGCAGGCAGGGGTGGCATTCACCTCCCCCCCCGCCCACGCTGGGCTGCCAGCGGCTGCTGCTCGCTATGGCAACTATCTCCATCACTCTGGTTGCCGTGGCCACTCATCTCCAAAAATGGCACACACACAGCGGGGGGGGCACACACATGACCCCCGGCAGCAGGAGCTGACCCTGGCTCCATCCTGGGCGTCGTGCCTGAGACCTGCCAAACTCATTGCACCTGGGACTGCCAGGGCAGAGGGGCTGGGGCAGGGGGGGCACGCACAGAGCCCCCCGGGCTCGGAGAGGAGCCTCGCAGCTGCGGGATTCCTCCCAGGTCACCGTCTGCCTCTGGGATGACTCAGAGGGGATTAGAGGGATTTGTCGGAGTGGGAACATCGCAGCCGCGGGCCCGGTCTCAGCCATGTAGGGCCGGTCCTGGCCAGAGGCACGGAGGCGTGGGGGCACGGGGCCAACTGGGGCCGAAAGGCATCGGGACCATGACCCCCCCCAGCCGTGTCCAGCCCCCCAGCATGGCTGCAGCCCCTGAGCTGAACGCCCCAACCTGCCCAGCCCTTCGCAATGGGGTGAAAGGAAGGGGGGACACTGGGGGGGCAGGGTTGGGGCTGGAGGGGCGCGCTGCCGGGGCCGGGGGTGTTTTGTGGCCAGAGCTTCTGCCCACAAAGCCCCTGTTCGCCCTCGGGCTCCCCTGCGACCCCGGGGATGTGTCCTTGTTTATCAGGGGTGTAGAGACCCGGGGTGGTGACACTGGGGTGCTGAGATCCAAAATGTTCAGAGCTGGGATGTTGAGACCCAGAGTTTTGGACACCAGAGATGGTGAGACCCAGGGTGCTGCGATCTGGGATCTGAGAGACCTGGAAATGTAGGAGACCCAGAATTTTGGAGACCTGGGATGTTGGAGACCCTGAATTTTGGAGCCCAGGCATGTCAGAGACCAGGATGTTGGACACACGGGATGTTGCAGATCTGGGATGTTGAGACCTGAGATGTGGGAGACCTGGGATGTTGAGACCCAGAATTTTGGAGACCTGGGATGTCAGGGAGCTGGGATGTGGAAAACCAGGATGTTGAGCCTGGGATGTTGGATACCCATGATATGGAGACCTGGCATGTGGAGACCAGAGATTTTGGAGACCTGGGATGTCAAGACACGGGATACTGGAGGCTGGGATGTGGAGAGCTGAGATGTAGGAGACCTGGGATGTGGGATATCCAGGATAGGGAGACTCAGGATGTGAAGACCCGGGATGTGGAGCCCCGGGAAGTGGAGCCCCGGGAAGTGGAGCCCCGGGACGCTGATCCCAGGCTGTTGAGCAGGGTTTAGTGGCCCTCCCGCTGGCCACGCTGGCCCGAGGCAGCCCCGTCCCAGTGCTCTGGTCCAGCCCTGCCAGGGAACCTGTGCCCACAGTGCGGTTCCCACCTGGCACGGCACAGCCACGGTGCACCGGTACCACCCGGGGGACAGACACAGGGCATGGGGACAGGTTTCTTTCACGGCTTTTTATTCCAGCTGATTCTATCGGTTCCTTCACATTTATTCAAGGCACTCGGTGGCCGGGCGAGTACAAAATAGACAATAAAAAGGGGGCTGTGAGCGGGGGGGGGGGGGGGGGATGGGGGGGGGCGGGGGCAACTTTTCCCCCTCCCGCCCCCCC